TCTTAAAACATTATTCTATAGTAATAAGCATTTTCACAATCGTATAATTCGTGCTAAAAAGCAACATTATCTCTACAACAACAATACATATAAATTCGTTAGTGAACAATGACTCCAAAGACAAGAAGCAAAACCTGTCTGCACCAGATTTCTGCCTGCAGCTAACAACAAGCTAGCCAGCTACAGCTAACTCGGTTCTGGAGATTCTGCAACAAAAAGGCATCTAATGCAAAGGTTCACCAAACTTTCGGACATACATCTATGCTTAAGTCTACAAAAAGATGTAGGGAGGTAGAAACAGTAAAAATAACTTAAAAAATGCCAAAACACGACGCGAATAGTGGCAGACCAACTAGCATCTATGACAGCTGGCGCTAGTCCGCTAGTCACGTCAACATAGCCAAGGACCCCTCTAGGGTAGTTTGAGCAAATCCAATTAACTGGTAATGTAGAAAAATATACACTTTATGGAAAAGAATATTCTGAATTGTGGCTGACTTAGATGGAATCATAATGTTACTGATTTATTTACCATTTATCTTATATTCCCCCCAATACTGATTGTGTTTCTATGCAGGCAGGGCAGGGCACTCCGGGTAGAGGAAGTAAACATTAAACTAGCATAGCAGCAGATTGTGTGTAGCTGCAGCAAATATTTCTAAAGTAGGTCTAAAGGAGTTGCAAACTTAGAATATGGATCGCTTTTCTTGGGCGAATGGACTACTAGAAATAAATGAAACGTTAGTGATTCAGCAGAGAGGTGTCAGGTTGTATGACGGTGACGACAAGGTATGTTAGCCTCCAGTGCATAACAGTGTACATACGCTCTGTTATAAACAAATACCAACTAATGTTCTTCTTTTTATTAGGCTAAACTGGACGTAGGAGCTGTTTTGCTTACAACTCATCGACTTATTTGGAGGGATATTAAAAACCATGTAAGGGATCTACTCAATTACATTTTATGATTATTAAGGGCATCTATAACATTTTTACACTACTTCGCAGGAATGTTGTATATCTATGCCGCTCTCTCAAATTATATTCTTTGAGGAGCAAGCTGCAGGTATTGGCAAAAGTGCTAAAATTGTCATCCACCTGCACCCAGCACCTGCCAACAAAGAGCCAGGTCCCTATCAACACAGCAAATACTCCTACATCAAATTATCTTTCAAAGAACATGGACAGATTGAGGTAATGGTCATGCTAATAAACAATAAAGTAACCAAATTTAAGTAAAAAATAAAAATAACTGAATACTTCTTGTACATTAATGCATTCTATATGTTGTAGTTTTTCAGGAGATTATCAGAAGAGATGACACAACGAAGATGGGAAAATACACCAGCTTCACAACCTATGCCCACAGGAACAGGCACTCAGGTTACAAAACATCTTTAAAATAAGAGAAGTACAGTAGGATAAAACCATAAGCAGATTTTACTCGTATAGCTGTTGCCACAAGATGGCAATATTGGCTGCATTATGACTTTGTAATTGTCCTTTAATAAAACTTGCAAAACTTGCAATTGTACTTTGCAAGAGGTGGGACAATTACATATATACATTATTATATTAATACACAATGAATTATGTAAATACTAACCTATCTGTAAACTATAGACTGATTGAAATCTTCCACATATCAAGCCTAACTAATATATTGATACTCCATTACTTAAAATAGTGTAGTTTGGGGTACAACACCTCAAATTATGATCATTTTTGTTTAGTTTTGAAATTGTTTCCTACGTGTTTTCATTGTTCCATTGTGTGTTTGCCTTTCCTGTCTGGCTCTATAGGCAGGAAGGACGCGTGCAGTGGGAATTGTTGGCATTGAGCGAAAGATCGAAGAAAAGAGGAAAGAGACAGACAAAAACATTTCTGAGGTACAAATAAACTTGAAAATATATTGTCAGTCTCAGTCCAGATGAAGCAAATGTTTTACTACAACATCATCCAATGTACTGTAATGCTCGCTAGAGCTATGACATTAAATCAACTGCTGAAAAGTGAAGGGGTGCAAGAATGTTCAGCAACAGCCAAAAACAAGTGATGAAAATAGGGCGGTCTCTGGAAGTGAAATTATTGCTAGAGCCTGAAATCTTGTGGTAAATTTAATTGTTCATATTTTTCTCAGTTATTTGTTTGAATTCTGTTTTAGGCTTTTGAGGACCTCAGTAAATTAATGGTGAAGGTAAAGAATGGCTTCCTTTTTGGATACAATTTGAAATTGAAATATATTTGATTACAGTTGTATAAAAATATTGTTTATTGTATACTAATTTAACTACTTTTTACAGGCCAAAGAGATGGTGGAGGTCTCCAGATCTATAGCAAACAAAATAAAAGACAAACAGGGGGACATAACTGAAGATGAGGTACGAAATTTCCACAATATTGTCATCAAAACCAGGCTAACTGTGTTCAAACTTCACAGACTATACGCTTCAAGTCCTACTTATTGAGCATGGGTATAGCAAATCCTGTGACCAGAGAAACACATGGATCAGGTACACATTACCATATGCAGCTGGCCAAGCAACTTGGAGACATGCTTCAGGCCCCACTAGAGGTAGACACAGCAAACTTTTCAATGCCTAAAATCAATTTCAAAGGGTATGTTTTGGGGTTTAACCATTGTTAGGCCAGCTCAAGGTTTTGTCCAAGATACCTGTTACATCAGATAAATAAATGTGTAACAAAGGTTACAAAACTTGCCTACTTGTAGGAGCGTGGAGGAATGATGTCACTGACTGAAGTGTATTGTCTTGTGAACCGTGCACGAGGGATGGAGGTATCAATGGAATTTTTACACAGACAGTATCCGAAATTTATGCTTTATAAACCTTAAAGTTCAGAGGTTATTTGTCTCTCTATTCTTTAGCTGCTATCTCCTGAAGATTTGCTAAATGCATGCAAGATGTTTGAGTCCTTAAAGCTGCCTGTGAGGTGAGTTTGTTACTTTAATTCATGTAGTTTAATTTAGGAGAATTCACTACTAGTGTATAGAAAATATAGCAAAATATAAGCCACAGTTGGCACCCATTTCACAGAGGGTTTCCTCTGGGTCTGGCTTCCTGTTTTTTTCCAAAGTCTCTTCAGCCCTTGTGTGTCATTTCCTGCTGCTTCTAGACTTTGAAAGAAAACATTGCTATTGGGATATATTGTGTTCTTTCTCTTGATTAATTACCATATAATGTGACAATTACAGTAAAGATTCATTGTCACACACACCTCTTCTACTTTGTTTTCTGTGTAGGTTGCGTGTGTTTGACAGTGGTGTGATGGTGGTCCAGCTGCAGTCTCACAGTGAAGAGGAAATGATCGCCTCAGCCCTGGACAATGTAAGCTGTACCATAATGAACAACAGTATGTGTGGCCTACGTTAATGATAATGCCTAAAACCAGGCAAGTCATATTGGAATCAAATCAAATTTTCTAACTCAGTGAGCGGTAATTGTACTGTATTACACATAATGCAGTGCATCATTATGTAAATTATTTGAATAAACTTTCATAGGTGTCAGAGAAGGGTTCTTTGACGGCAGAGGAGTTTGCCAAGCTGTTGGGACTTTCAGTTCTTCTATCAAAAGAAAGGTAAGCACTGTCTGATGTTATTTATGTGTCATTGTTTAATACAAATACATATTAGAAAGTATTTGTATTGTTAAAGTCATACCAGAAAATAATTCAGTTTGTTGGAGATTTTTTTTTAAATTAATTTCAGTGCTTTGTTTGTTTTTGATAACTTTATTTAAATTCTGTTATTTTGTAGGTTGCTGCTCGCGGAGAAAATGGGACATCTGTGTAGAGATGATTCTGTTGAGGGTTTGAGGTTTTACCCAAATCTATTTTAACATGTTTTCCCCCTGATCTGGAAATACCTTTAACCCACCATATTGTGTTGCACAATTTTTACTGTCTGTTGCATATAGTACATTTAAGAGAACTTTATCTGGGGCATCAGTCAAAACTGAATTTCTGTTTATGATCTGTCACTTTTGGTAACTCTAACATTAAAAGATTAACCACCTGATCTTCTGGCATTTGTGTTTTCCCAGCATATCACTTATGAATTCTAACTGCCAGATGTTGTCAAATAGATAAATTTTTTGTGCCAAGATTTTGTAACTCATAGAAGCACCTGCAAAGATGACAGGTGTAACACAGGTCATTGCTATCACTTTACTTCATCATAGACAGACCTGCTGTTGTAATCAGGTTACTTGTTCATACAATGCCAGAGGCACAAGAACATTTGTTATCTCAAATGTTAAAACTTAAGTTGTGGTTTCTATTGTGAAGAGCGTTTCATAACAAAAAAAATCAGTTTTTGAATGCAAACAAAAATACTTGCACAAAAAAACTGCTAAGTATGGATTAGATTAGTATTCTCTTGCGGTTTTCTTATCGGTAGATCAGACCAACTGGAAATAATCTCATAATCACATTGATAACACATGTGCAATACAAAACTGTAAAGGCAGTTGTCTTGTTGCTACATGTTGAGATAGACTGGCTCCAATCTGACCTCAATCTACAGTATACACCAGGAGGCATAGCTACAGCCTGACAATAAACAATACACAATAAACCCAACTTTTAATCTCAACAGAACTAGTGATCAACTTTAATAATTTTGTGCAGCTGTATGCAGATGGGTAGGCTAGCCTGCCTTACACTGCTGTACTCTTAAAAGTTATTTTGCTATTCACTACAGCTACCCTTTATAGGCAGTCATTTTAAGGACCTTTCTCTTTGATCTGCTTTGTTGTAATTACTTTTCCTCGGGCAATCTCAACAATGTACCAGGTGCCTGGGTCTGTAATGGCATTAAGATCAGACAATTAAACGCAACGGGCAACGGTGACTTGTCTAGTCGATACTTTATATTGGCATAAAACTGAAAACGACCAGCTTGCAGATGAAGAAGTTAAAATGAATCACATATTTACCACATAGACTGTAGGCTAGTTTTTGGCACACAGTACATGGCAGATGCCGCGCACTGCGCACACTCTCTGATGCGCGTTCACGATCTCCTGGCTGCGCGCCTGTGGCTAAACTACTGGCTCAGGCTACTGCCCATGGATCTACTACCTCACTGACTACAGACACTGACAGGGATTTTTGGATCTGGGGATTCTTTCAAGTATTTCTCTGCGGCGCGTGTCCGTGGTTGGGAGCAACACGCGCATGGTGACCGGTAAGACTTCCACCTGAAAATTTAGGTTATAAGTTGTCTACTTTACTCCACGATTTTAAATTAAGCCTAAAAAATAAAATAAGGAAGTATTTTCCTTCCCGCACTCTAACTGTATGTAACCTTATGTTACAATTCTGCGCAAAATATTATAGGCTTACAGAACCTATCCAGTTAATTGAAATTATGCAATGCTCTGTATGAACGACAATTATACATCTTTACACGATTCATATGGACATTTGTCTATGAGGAGTTTATAGAGTTTCTTGTGCCTGTTCAAGTAAAATATATATTAATGATATAATAATGATTTTATAAATGCATCAGTCTAAAGGAGGGACCTGGGAACCTTCAGAAGTTTATCAAAGGGCATAGCCAAGACTGGAGGAAAAAGAATAATTTTGTAAATTACCGAATGAATGTTATTTCTTCCTGTTTTTCATGGTTTAATGCAATGGAAAAGATCCCATCATCGACTAGTAATTTGATTCTAGAAACTAGAGTTGTTGGTTTTTTTTTTGTTTTTGTTTTTTTTTGCAGGATTTGTTTCTCATTCTCAGTGGTCAGTGATGGAGGAAGACGAACAGGACAAACTGTAGGAGAAAAAACATAACATCGTAACATCGTAATGCCACAGGCTCTCTGCACACTTCCTCTGCTGCTGGCACTCACGGGATATGGTGAGACGAACTAAACCTTAACAAATGAACTTGGACTGAAATATACTTAGAAACATAGATAGGTTCTTATAGGTCAAGAGGAAGGGCGGGGTAGGACTATTCTCTGTTTCCATTTGAGGAAGGCTTAGAAGTGAAGGAATTTTTGTTTTAGAATGCAACAAGACTGGGAATACCCAGATACTAATTGATACCAAACGAATATCAAGTACTAGCAATATTGTACCACTGTAAATTTTGTGAAAATGTCCTGAATAGTTTTAGAAGGATATTTATCAGAACGAGTACATGACACATTAAAGAAATAAATTACTTTCAGTGCATTTTTATCTGTGGCTGCAATTTACAAGTATTAAGACATTAACTGAAGTAGTGGGGATTACAATAAAAATACTGGGGGAAAAAAATGAAATTTTAATAAGCTTTAATACATGTTTTATAATAGCCAAGTAACAGCTAATTAGCTAATTACCACTTAGTTAGTGATTAATATGTGGTCAGTGTTCCTTAAACTGAAGTGTCTCGGAATTTACACTTGCAGTGCTTTTTTCCTAAGTGATGCTTTCATGTATCAACTAATGATCAGTATATCACAACTTTACTAAATCTCACTATGGCACCTGTAAGCTGATAAAGATTTTAAAACTTGCTGATGGGTTAGAATGCTCAATCAATAAATGATTTTATGATTTGTTTACAATTTTTTTTTTTTGCTTTTTTTTCCATAGCTTTGGCAGGGCTCAGTATATGGCCCTCTCTCCACATCGCCCTTAGCAACGCCAGCATATTTGTGGATTTCACATCAAATTCCAGCAACAGTACAATAGTTCAAAGGACTCTTTCTTTAGTTAACACAGAGACCAACACCACCTTAACGGCTCGGAAGATCCCAAACATCCCAACAACTTTTAGGGTGGAGTTCAACTGCTCTTGCTTCCTCTATGCAGGAACCTTCCGCTTCTTGCTGAGGCAAACAAGCATTGGCCTTGGAGCTTCTCACAATAATGGGACAAACCATGATGGAGTGGAGAGTACTACCTGGTGGTGGAGTTCAGAACTGCAAGTGCAATGGCCCACTTTTCATGTGGCTGTGGAGAGGGCTGGAAACCACTCTGGCTCATTTCAGGTAGGGGTGCAAAAAACATATATATGATTTTAGCGTTAAAAAAAAAGTACAAAAACTATGAATAACTTAATGAAAATATAAAGTTTTAATGAGTAGGGCTGCAACTAATCTGAATAACTGTAATCATATTTTGCTAATCATTAACATTGTCTGGACTATAGAGACGTTAAAACATATTTTATAACTAACTGGCTATTTAAATCAAAAACAATTCTAAACATTATCTTGTAAATATTCTAGAAGCCTTCAGTTACCATTTGACTCATCGAAAAATAATTGCTGACTAGTCGACAACTAAAATAAAGATCTGATAGACAACAAAGGCAACAGAAAGGTGGTGATGATGATTATATGTTTGGTGTCTGTTGATTTTAATTTCATGATATAGTGTCTACCATTATAATAATATAGGGATAGGTTAAAGTACTAAAAAAAAGCATTTCTAAATCAAACATGATGTAATAATTGTATGTCTCTTTTCCCTCAGGTTGGTATAGCCACTAATGAGCACTTCACAGCTTGCAGTAGGGGCATAGACTCTGCTCTTTTCCTGGAAGTCGGCTTCATGGAGTACAACCAAATTGGTAGAAACAGCATCGACAAGGTCCGAGCACGCACCCGCTATCCCATCAAACCTCTCCGCTCCCAAAGCATCGAGCTGCCATGTGCTTTCCCATTCACTGAAAAAGACTTCATACGAGTAGCACTGAAGTCACCTCATTCCACTCAGGATGTTAAAAGCTCTGGACCTCTGTATTTGTCCAGAATATTCTCTTACAAGCTTCTGGTTGAAAATGGCAATGCTTATAGGAGTGCATGTGAAGGGACAATGTCTGTTAAGCTGCTGACTCCACCGTGCGCACACGTAAATGGAAAAGTATTGCTCTACAAGGACACAGGAGTCAGTCCAAGTTTATCCACCTCCGGGACAGGAAGTATCACACTGTTGGGCTTTGGTACAGAGGAACCGGCATCACCCCCTCTGGCGTATAACTGGCTCACTCAGGGAGAGAATGAAACCGAATTTAACTGCTCAGTGTTTTACCCTGGGAGGAATAAGTACTGCTTTCGCTTTGTCTTCAACTACAGCCGGTCACCAAGTCCAGCGCAGACGTGTTTGGTGGTTCATAGGAGTGCAGGTATAACTTTTTTGTTTGTGCCAAGTAAAAAAAGAAAATTGTCTGTAGACGCATCACCAGACATCTAACACCTATTTAAAAATATAAACCATAAAAACTGTGTAACATGATACAGACCATGCAGAGGTGCACGTTTGATAAAAAAAAATTCCAAGATCAGATAAAGAGTGAAGAATGGGTATTATCAGAAAGGGCATCTGGAATAAAATCCTCTCATTAATTTGTGCTGCTTATCCATAGGAGAGAAATGTTGTATGTATTGAATTACAAAATAGCCCTGTCTTTTCATTCGGTAGTTTGTCCATTGACAAAAAATAATAATAATAATAACAATAATTAATTAATTAAAAGTTCAATCTTTGCTTTTTATGTTTGTAGAGTCTTGGGGTCCTTGGCAGCCTTGGAGCTTGTGCAGCGTTACATGCGGTGAGGGAGTGAGGGAAAGGATCCGTAATTGTTTGTTGCCCTCTGGTGGAGGTGGGCTGAAGTGCACCGGCATGGTGAAAGAACAGTCTCTCTGCTCCCTTGAAGACTGTGTTGGTTTGTAATTTTCTGTTTTGTTAATACTTTTGCTAAGACAATGTTATGTTAATTAGTCAGATACTTCTTTTGTTGTATATATTATTATTTCTGTAGCACAATATCCATATTCTACCAAAGCAACTGTAATAACATATCTTTCTGAAGGTGGCACATCACATCTCCCCCCAAAAAATGTTTTATGTACTTATTTATTTCTTTTCTTAATACTTGCATGGTGGGCTTTAAATAATATACCTCAATTGGCTATGTAATTGACAAGCCACTCTAAAGATTCTTCTTCCTTTCCAGTGTCACCTGTCTCTACTCCATCCCTCCCACCCGTCCACACTGGAACTTCACCCCTGGGTAATAACATTGTGGCTGTGGTGGGCATCTCTCTATGCCTGGCTGTGATTTTGGCTACTGTTATTGTAACCGTGTGGAGAAAGCTTTGCCAAACCCCTCCTTCCTGCAGCTCAGTTCGTCGGGGCTCTCTCCATTCTCCAGGGGGGAGGAAGTTGTCTGATGAGGCATCCATTTGTGCCAACAGCCTACAGCGGCCCAGCGTCACCGATGGCCATATTACAACAACTGGGGTTACTGCCTCTCAGAAAGACTTAGCTCCTATTACCCCTCCACCCCTCACACAGACTCTGGTGATACCTATTGCACAAGACCCAGAAAGACTGTCCCCTAGTGGTCAGAAGATGCTGCCTCCAATATTTGGGTAACTAAACTTTAGCCATTGTAATAGTCTTATAATATTAGTATATTTATGTTTTAGTTGTAGTGATGATGGTAATACACCTCTACCTGTAAACATATCTAGCATTTATGCAATTAGTGGTGTTTTTATTGCTTAAAAAATGCATTCTTAATTTCCACAGATCTGATAAGCAATTTGTCCTGTTAGTGCTACATGCTTCCATATGGATAAGTTTAATGTCATACTGTGAAATATTATAGGCAAAGCATTAACGTCTCTGTGGAGCCGTTACGTACCTTCTAAGTTACACAATGCACTTTTCTCTAAAATACGTGAATAGTTATGTATGGGATTTTTTGATATTTTGATATATATACATCTGTACATGCAAATCTGAATGACATACTGTACATAGAATACAAAAAAATCACATGAATAAACTTGAACCGAACTACTAACGTCAATAGACTTTTCGTGTAAATTAATCCCTTTATTCCTTGTAGGTACCGTTTGGCTCAGCAGCAGTTAAAAGAAATGAAGAAGAAAGGTTTGAAAGAGGCCACACAGCTGTATCATGTCTCCTCAAGTCCAGTTCATGACACTCTGCTTGAAACCTCGACTTCCCCCACCTGCTCCCCCATCCCCTCCCCAACGGCGTTCCCACTGGGCCCACCCAAAGAAACCAACTCAAGCCCTTTTCGAATTGCTGCACCCTTTTCTGACATGCCTGTCCAAACTTTAAGGACCACACCTGACAGACTAAGTCCCAGAGTGGAGCTAGTCCTTGGACCTCCTGTTTCTGGTCATTCAAAAAGTGGTAGCACTGGTTGGAGAGACCGGACAGCGGACTGGGTGGAGATGGTGGAGAGGAGTGGATTGGCTGGGCTCAAGCAAGGAACTGCTCCAGGAAATGAAAACAACTATGAATATAGGAATCCTTATTTCCGTCGAACGTGTAGTTTTAATGACACTAAGCCTCAGCTTTCATCTGCTGCACTCGCAAGGCAGTTCAGAGAAAGAAGTATGACACAGGTTTGTCAACTGAATTCTCAGCAATTGTAATCTGAAATGTAGTGAACAAGACATGTATGCAGCCCCATACACAGTGATGTTAGCAAACTATGTGTGATAAGTTAAAAGATGGATTATTATAGTATATTATTGTAAAAGTCTAATATATACATAGTTATGAAAATATGTTTACAGGGTTGCTTCATTATCCTTTGGACACTTCTGTTTTAGTGTCACTAAATGCCCTTTATTTAAGATGGCTCCTCAGCTCCACACAACCTGATAAAGTGTCTTCTCTCTTGATATGTCAAAACAAAACTGGTGGGCGTTAAGATACCTGTGTTGAGTAGTAGTGCAAATTAAGGCAACAGTAATATATTAGTAATATATTAATTATAAGTAATAATAATAATATATTACTCATAATATATTATAAGTAATATATTAATATATTAGTAATATAAGAGTTAGATGAATATATATCAGTGTACTGTTGATTATTCGGCTGCGTATTAGGTAAGCGGTTATGATGTCTGTTCAGAACAGATCTATAATGTACAATTTTATGTATTTCAGGTGGGATCTCGCACTCTTCCTGAGGGGAGCAGTTGGAAGAGAAGTGGAAAGTTGCCCCCTTCTTATCCCTTTACAGAAGAAAGTGCATCAGAATGGGCCAAAGCAAGACTCCAGAGAAAAAATTTAAGGAAGACTTGGAGTGACACACAAAATAATGAGGTTAAACATACTGGCACTAACACAGACAATTTAATTTCAACATCTGAAAGACTCCTCAAGCCTGATCCAGTAGAAAAAGAGGTTCCCAGAACCCAGGGCATCTCTGGTATTGGGGGTCCAGTTGCGGGACAGGACCATCCCATTGGAATGAATCACCTCAGTCTGAATAGGGCTGAACTGAACTGGAGTCGACGTGGTCCTTCTCCCATACAGAGGAACATGCTGGCCCGCAAACTGAAGGAGGCGCAGTCATCCTCATGTGCTAGAGGAGGGCGCCAGCGCAGCTCCACATTCAGTGTGTCCTCATCTCAGCAGAGGAAGAACAGGTGCAGGTCTTTGCCCATGTCTGGAGACTTCAGCGGCAGCAGTGGGGGCTCGCCCTACAGACTGAGCGAGGCTGAACAGAAGATGATGGACCTAGATCTGTCCTCTCCATGTGAAGAGGGAGACGAGTAAATTGCAAGCGTTTGAAATTTTAAAAATCTGTTGTTGAATATTAAGGATTATGTGTATGCAGTAAACACTGATAAGGCATAGCATGCCACCTCATATGCAGTTCATATTCAAACATGATCAGGTGCTCTGGTCTAGCCTTTCTCAAGATATACAGCTCACGATAAAGAGAGAATGTATTTTGTTTACTTCATCTGTCATAAAGTACTGCATATATTTGCTGTGATCTTTGAAGTTTTATAATAATTGTATAATTTTATACTATACAGGTTTTATGATATATTATATTGTTTATTATGTGCAGTGATGCTGTTTGTATTTATAGGATGCAAAATGTACATTCAGGTTCAATGGGTAGGGACAATTTGAATGTAAAATCACTGCAGACCATTGCCTTAAGTTCATGCACAGTTTATAACACAGGGATTTAGGCCTATGGCTACAATGCAAGTTTTATTTTGGAGAAAAAGGAAATGAAGAAATATGACAAGTAATAACAATGTCAATTCAGATCATTGTAGATTTGTCTGTTGCATATTTAAATAGAAAAAGGGTTCAAATTGGGATGCGCAGATTGGTATTGAAAAACCGCAGCAGTGCAGGAAAATTAGCTGGATCGGATATTGGTTCCATGATATATTGGTTTGGCTTTTAACTGGATGTAATAAGACTATTTACAGGCTGATTTTGACCTAGACCATATCAGAATGTTTGAACTTTTATTCATACAAAGCTGTTTGTAACTTACAAGAAAAATAGCAATTACATAACACAATTCAATTTTGTAATAAGTTAACTGTGTTTTGAGAAAAGGAAAAAAGCAATTTTCCCCCCTACAATGTTATTGTTTTTTATCGGATATCAGCAGATACTTAAAGCCATAATATCAATACTGATATCAAAACAGAAAAAGCTGGATTGGTGCATCCCTAGTTAAAATAGTTATACAGTTAACTTTGTTGTTTAAAATGCTCCATCTCCGCTCCCCACAGCATCCAGGAACATCAATGGTCTCACTTTGATTGTCGTGTGCCGAAGGGAGTACCAGAGACCTCTCCACGGACCCCAAACCACACCATTGTCCAGCTGACCAGAATACTTCCCGTTTCTGTAGTATTTGCCATTTAGGTTGGCTGCATGACATCTGTAAGAGAGAAATGTAGTAATGATATTGTAGTCATGTAGTTATGAGTCAAAATGAACTTGATTGGGAGTTAGAGGTAGAGTTACGGGTAAAAATGAATTTCACAGCTGTTGTTCTAGAGATAAATAGACATTTTAAAAACAGTGGGGAAAAAAAAAATCTGAATAAAAATAACAACAGAAATTTGAAGTGACATGTATAAAGTAATATTTTAGCTATTTTGTGGTAATTTTTCAGTGCAATGACATTGTGGGCATGTTTAAGAACATTTTTGATGATTGCCATAATATTGTCTCAATATTGTCAGTTGAAAGTTATTAGATGAAAACCACTACTGAGAATAATGTTGAAATTTGAATGAAATCTGTGAACTGAATATTTACCGGTTGAACCACCAGCCAGCTTGATTCTCCTGAGCACAGTTGCCTTGATGATATCGGTCATTATCCTGTCAAAGATCTCTGTTAACTTTGCAGTACACTGTTCAAGCATGACATTGAATTTGAATTTTGTGATGTTGTGATCCATATTTAGCCACTATTTGGTATGTCAAACTCACTCAAATGCTTACAGTTTTCAAAACATTGCTACAGTAAAAATAAGTATGATTTTTGTGTAAGCTATGAACAAGAAATTAAATCACTTTCACTACCAATGATCAAAATGTTATGCTTTGCTGTCTTCTATGCCATATATGTCTGAACATTACATCGCATACATTACATTCCATACATGTTTTTATAATATGATCCTTACCTGATCTCTGGTGCTGAATTGCATCCCACTGAGACAAGCAGACCACTGCTCCACCATCCCTCCTCCTCCTGTCAGAGCATCGCCCGCTTTACCACTGTACTGGCCATATTGAAGGCGGTACTTATCCTTCAATTCAGATTACAGTAAATTTAAGTAACTTCCATTTTAAGTATATTTTTATAGCTGAGCCATATTTTGTTCACTTACAGATTCAGCATTGATCCTGAAGTTCTCATAAAAGGCATAATTTCTGTGTCCTTCCCAGTCCATCAAGTCTATCTTCACCAAATTTTTACCTTAACAAATAAATACTATGAAATATAAGAAAAATACTTGAACATTACATTTTAATGTTTATTAAAAGGACAACCTTTTGAAAGCAATGAGTGAATGTGTTCATTGCCCAACCAAAACTCATCATTCCACAGTTTAAAGTCCCCAAATCCATCTCTGTAGTCCACCCAGTCTCTGCAATGTGAAATAACACACATACTTGGCAAAAGGAAGCTATGATAAACACTAACATTTACTGTGATTACCTATTGAAATCTACTTTGCCGTGTCTGCGTTTTTGAAACACTGTCCATCCACCGCCGTCATCCATGTCACAGTAAACCAACACAGGGTCCTGGTTGGAAATGGGCCTGACCCTGTAAAAGCCACTTGGAGACCTCTGTCTGTCAAACAGCTCTGAACAGTCTGCAGCAATGGGAAAGAGCATTTACTCCTGGAATACAAGCTGCTTTTCTTTTTTTTTTTTTTGTAATAATATAGGTGCACTATGTAACTTTTCAGTGGAGAGTTTACCTTCTGTTTGTCTCCATGGATATGTTATTGCTTTGCCTGGAATATTCTACATTGCCATCTGGCATCATCAATAAAAGGTCAGATCTATGGAGTGGTGACCCCACTTACAGTTCTGACTTTTAAGGGGTTAAAACATCTGTAATTAAATAAATGAAAGATATATAATGCCACAGTAAGGAACATTTCAGGGAAGCAATAACATCTCCATCAATGCATGCAGGTGGCTGACCCAGGAGGCAGACAAAATACAAAATAAAACACAAAAATCCAAATACATAGGCCTACCTTTGTCATGTACTATAAGACTGCCTGCAGACGGGAGTCGCGTTGTTTGTCTACTGTCCAAACTGTCCACTGTCCTGCTACTGTTGGTCCCATCACCGACAGCTGGTGATTGTGGATCCTGGTTTGATGTAGTCTGGTGAAGAGGCTGAAAATATTTGTGCGTCTGCAGGTATCGTATCTGCCAAACTCCGATCAAAAGGTTATTCTCCAGTTGCTTTATACTTTTCTTGAGAGCTGCTACTTCTGTTTCACATGAGTCCAATTCCTAGACAGAGAAACACTAAACTATAGATATGTCACAGTGCTTATATGTAATGGTAAATGGTTACATTTTAATACGGCATTTTTCCACCCTCAAGGCACTCAACATATGTATGTATATGTAATATTAAAATATGAAATAATAGGCTACTTACTGACATGTCCGTTGGAACAAAGCTGCAGACCAAAACCACCACAAGTAATGTTGCCATGATTCCTCTCAACATATAAACAATCAGCATAGAGTGTCTTTTATCCAGGGATAGCTCCAGTTTCCATCTGTTTCTTTCTCAGAAGTGTCAGAATTATTTAGAGCTGGTTCTGCATGGTCCACATTAAGACTCAAGAACAGAACCACCTGCCAGAGCTGGAATCTGTTTTTCTTTTTGTTCAATACAGGGAAAAATGCCGTATGAAGCAGAAAAGTGCACAGGACTTTCTAACCTAAATATAATAATATAACTTAACAAACTTTTACTGTCAATAGTTTATTTATTTTATTTCATATCTTTTATGTGGTTTTCTTTGAGGTGGAGGAACAAAGCAATTTTGTTGAACTGCTGGAAAACGGTCTTTTTGTAGCCTGTGCCTTACTGTGCGTTATATGACCTCATACATAAAGAGCATAGACTGTATTTATACGGTCTATGATAAATAGTCTAAACAGCTCCCTCTAGTGTTAGTAGATCCATTGTTTATATGCAGGGGGCTAAATTGTGTAAACAATAATAAAAAAAACACCAACGTACAAAATTATCCATTTATAATCAGACTATTAGATGTTACTGTAGCTAAGTGTTTAGACTATAATTAGGCTATTTGAGAGTAATTATATATTTTTTTACAAAAATAATTAGAAAAAGGATTAAAATGAAATATTTTGAGCCTATGTTTTAACTATAAAGAAGATTTTTTTTTTTGCCATTGAACAGGTCCCAAACAAACTCCCTGTGACAGAGCGAGTTCATTAAAACCAGATGTTGCAGAGCCGGAGAGGGAGGGATGCAGATGCTAGGCCCGCTACAGCTAACTTCACTTTACTTGGGCTGTTGCTTTGTCTCGAGAATATAGTTTATTACTCAGGTCAGTCTTTGTTGTCCTGGACGATGAGTAAAAATTTGCCAGAAAAGCGCCTTGCATTTCTCACTCAAGTCCAGGAAGTCTAAATTCGCTACGTTTGCACAAACCCGAGGAGGGAAAGTGGATGAGAGAAAAAATCTGCCCGGTTAACCTTTGAACTGTCTTCCTTTTGTCCTCACTACAAGATCACAAGACTACGCTCGTATAATGTCGCGAATGACAGTGGCACGGGTAAGCTGGCTGTGTGCGTTTGCTTGACTTTTGCTGCTGAAGGGTGAGTAAAAACTTCAAAAACTGTGAAAACTAGAAAAAAAAAGGAGGGGCGCTGGGGCTGCAGTGGTTTGCAACACACAGCTGTGGCATTTTGCGTAGTCTTTTTCAGATTGCAATGTTTAATTTGTTCTCTTGTAATTTGCGTCATTTACTTGTTGCCGTTTGTGTGAAAGTAATTTGTCAGTAAAAATAATAGTATATATTGTTTTTCTTTCTTTCTTTCTTTTTTTTTTTTTTTTTTTAAAGCTAGAAATTGAAAGTGAAGACTCTAGCACCATGTCCTCTGTCCATTTCAACCCTGGATCAGATGCAGGTGTAAATGGGTAACTTATTCTTCTGTTATATTAGTTTTGACTACCCAAACTAGACATGCCTCATCTATAACTATTACATCACATATAGTGCATTGCCAGTAAGAGTGCATCCTAGTATGTATTTTGTAAAGTGATAATGTATTGTTTTATTGTTGTTTTTTTTGTTTGTTTGTTTGCTTGTTTGTTTTTTTAAGAAATGTTGCAAAGATGGAGGATGCCAAAGTGGAAATAGATGATGGAAAAGAGGAGGATATGGACCCTGACAATTTGTACCAGTATGTTAATGCAATTTTCTTTGCATTAAATTAAATAAGTAATTTATTAATCCCATTATGCATGCTTTTTATCCAGCAATATCCGGAAGAAAATCTCTCCTGTGGTCATGTCTTTTGGATTTCGGTGAGTGATTAATGTTTTAATTTGTCTGTTTTGTATGTTTTTGAAATAATACGCTGCTAGTGTGTCTTTCTATGTGCAGTATATTTGGAGTGGTTCTGATCATAGTGGACATAGTGCTGGTGATCGTGGACCTGTCGTTGCCGGCCAGAAGCAGGGAGCTGGGGAACGCTCTGGAGGCTGTGTCCCTGGTCATTTCATTCTTCTTCCTCTTTGATGTTCTGCTTCGGGTCTATGTAGAAAAGTAGGTGGACAAGAAACCTTTTTAACTAAGTTGCATGTAGAGCTGCACGATTTTGGAAAAAAATTTAATTGTAATTTTTTATTGCAATAAGCTTTGAAATATGCTCAAAATGTATGATTCAGAGGGCTCATTTTACACAGCTCCAGGCGCATAAAATTTTGAAAAAGAACTAAAATATGGACTGATAAACTAATATAAACTCATGCATTTCAAAACATGTTTGTAGAGATTTAACTACACAAAATGTATCATAAAAAGACAGTATTTTGTTCTCTGCAGACAACATTATGAAAATAATTGCAGCCGTTGCGGGCCAACTCAAATTTGTATTTATTGTGCAGCCCTAGTTGCACAATAAATTCCTAACTTCCTACCTAATTTCTACATTTTACTTATATGTTAACAGAGAAAAAAAAAATTTTAACTTCTGCAGACATTTTGACATATTTCTTAATCTAGGATATGCAACTGGTGATGCCTGAGTCAGCAGGAATGCATTTCTGACTATCTGTTTTACAGGAAGCTTTTAAAGAGGAAGTTGGCTAAAAGAAAATATTCCAGGGAAAGCATTGGTAAACTCCTGCTAGGTCTGTCAGGCAAAATGTTAATTTATAACCACCTGCGTTTTTCAACAATGTAGTATACAATATACTCTGATACACTGGGTATTAGGGTTGTTTAAAAAAATGTATACTATACAAATCTATGCAAACAGTATTTATAAAAGTATAACACCACAATAATATAAAATATTTTTTTGTTAAATATTACATTCTCTTCTCTAAAGAAAATGTTTCTTATTATCATTGTTGTATTGAAAAAAGTATTTGATATCAAGCCTTTTACTTAGAATTTAAATTAAGTTGTCCATTTTTAGCATTGTGACAACACGACCGACATTTTTGTGACACATAGAGGATGTTGACTATAGCAGAAAAGACACAAGCTGATGTTTGGAAAATGCTTTGACTTGCTGCCAGACTCTCTTAAAACTTTATTCTTGTTTATTTCTTTGCTTTTAACACAAGTACACTTTCTTGTCCCATTGAAAAGAAGAAAATGGCATTGAGCACATTTATTGTTAAAATTTATTAACAAAATTTCCCCTCTCAGGTTTACAGTCTATTTTAGCTCAAGACTGAACATATTGGATGCTGTTGTTGTGGTGGTCACTTTAGTGGTCACAATGATCTACACCTTCACTGATCTGTCAGGAGCCAGCCTTATCCCCAGGTGCTTTGTAATTTTTACTTAAAAGGTTTTGATTGACTACAAATGCCAACAAATATTTGTCTTTGTTGTCAGGGTGGTGACATTTCTACGTTTCTTGAGAATATTAATTCTTGTGAGGGTGTTCCGATTAGCAGCTCAGAAAAAGGAGTTGGAGAAAGTCACCAGGAGGATGGTAAGGACATATTTGGATTTATTTGCTATGTTGTCATGTTCAAAAGTTTGAGTAGAAAATAAAAGGTGTGATTATGTTCTTTTAGGTTTCTGAAAACAAGAGACGTTATCAGAAGGATGGCTTTGACCTTGACCTTACCTATGTCACAGGTTTGTGTCCAAGATACTGGTATCATGGACTGGTATCAATTCCCAAACCTGAACCATTAAATTTTGTTCCCATTCAGACCGTGTCATTGCAATGTCTTTCCCCTCCTCTGGCAAACAGTCCTTCTACAGAAATCCCATTAAGGTAAGCTATAAACTTTGTTTACTCTACTTTATACTCTATACAGTTAAATTTTTACGCACTCAGTGACTTGCCTCACTTCATTCCTTTGTGATCTCTTTAGGAGGTTGCAAGGTTTCTAGACACTAAACATGAAGGACACTATAAAGTTTACAACCTGTGCAGTAAGTTTCTTTTCTTTGTTTATTTTCAGACTTGGTAGCTTTACAGAAATCAGATCCAAGATATCATTAAAGGGATTAAAATGAGAAATCTTTTTTGTCTTAATTATTCAGGTGAAAAAGGCTATGACCCACAGTTTTTTCATTACAAAGTGGAGAGAATCTTCATCGACGATCATAATGTGCCCTCTTTGGAGTAAGTTGAATGTGTTTAGAAACATTATAATGTATTCCATAATACTTAAAATCTTTTCTCTGTAAACTACAGGGATATGCTGAAGTACACGGCCAGTGTGAGGGAGTGGATGGCTGCTGATCCAAAGAACATTATAGCGATTCACTGTAAAGGAGGAAAAGGTTTGTTCACAACTGTATGATCTTATGTTGCCTTCATGTGGCATGGGAATTATGGTAAATACAACTGGCAGAGTGGGAAATTGCACATGAATGGCCCCTTGTGTCATATTTTCTACTGGAAAAGTGGAGATAATTTTGATGCACAAGTTGCTGAGATAAAAATAACCTTTGATACAACGGTGGACAGGGGTGAATGAAGAAAATTTGCCTTTGAACTTACAGTTAGTTGTTTTTGGCACATTTCATTTTGCTACAAGCACAAAAGCACTTGACAAAACACACTTGTAATAACCACTTCACTACTGGAAAGGATCATCTTCTCCATAGCACATGAAGGCAGCATTAGTTTACAAGTTAAACTATAATATTATATCATTATTTTTTGCATGTATATTTCAGGGCGTACAGGTACCATGGTGTGCACTTGGCTTATAGACAGTGACCAGTTTGAATCAGCTCAGGTGAGTTCATTATGGGATATATTGTACTGATATGTTAATGATTTATGTGTTTCTAATAATTTATATACTCCACATTAGGACAGTTTAGAGTATTTTGGTGAGAGGAGGACTGACAAAAGTCAAAGCTGTAAGTTTCAGGGAGTGGAGACGCCCTCACAGGTAGGAGCCATTCTCTCATTAATTCCAAATAATTGACTGTCTGTTATTGCCTGTTCTGTATTAAAATCAACTGCTCCTCTCCCAGAGCAGGTACGTGGGATATTATGAAATCATGAAAACAAAGTTTAACAGACAGCTGCCTCCTGTAAAGAGCCTCAGGATCAAGAGCATCCGCATCCACTCTATAACAGGTCTGTTCAAACTGTTTATGTGCAATTTCATATATATAAGATTTTAAATTATCATTTTTTTTATTATAAATGATTGTTTTATTTTAAATCAGGTGTTGGTAAAGGTAATGGCAGTGATTTAAAAGTGAAGATAATTGTCAGAAAGGAGCTGGTGTTTGAATGTGTGTGTGCTAAACAGGAAAACTGCACAGTAAGTAAATATTCAAGTTTGTACAAGTACTATACTACTAGTATATTTACAGATCATTTGTAACATAACTAAACTTTGCTTTACATTTTAATTGTTGTATATTGCTGTCAAGTGAATGCCATAATTGTAATAACTGGGATACAAATATTTTTTTTAGTAAAGTAATATTTAAAATGTAAATGTGTTGTTTAGGTATTTCCAGATGTGGGAAACAACGCCGCAGTGATCAGTCTACAGAATGGGCCTGTAGTCGATGGAGATGTCAAAGTCATGTTTGAATCTAGTGCTGTAAGGCCTTGTATATATTTGATAGGAATAGTAACAAATCTAAAGTGTGTGTGTACTCTGACTTTGTGTTGTATTACAGGGGCTTCCAAAAGGATATGAAGATGTCCCATTCTACTTTTGGTTTAATACCTCATTTATTGTTGAGAACAAGTATGTTTCAGAGGTGAAAGATAATATCCTTAACCATCATTAAAATACTCTATCTGAAAGTTTGATTTAAATCTTCACAGGCTGTTTCTGCCCAGAGAAGAACTCGACAACCCACACAAAGCAAAGACTTGGAATTTGTATAAAGAGGATTTTGGTGTCACCATGTATTTCTCTGAACCATAATAAACTTTGCCAATCTCATTGTTTGTTGTTCTCTATTTATATGAAGTATTCATGAGAAGGCTTATGTTTTTTATTTCCATTAATTTCAAGCAGATTGGATTATGTAAGAAAATATAGCTGTGCTTTTTGATCCTCAATCCCAAATTGAAGCAGGTACCTACACATTTTATGTTTTTTTAGTTTTTCTGTCTAAAATAAGATGAAAATTCATTTAAAATAATGTATCAAGATGTTTATATTCTAAAAGACAAGGCTCACTTTCAGATATATTTATTGCTTTTCCTTGTAGGCTTGTAAGAGAACTGGCAACAAAATAAAGTGCAAATAAGTCACTGATGGTGAGAAACACACAGATGAGACCAACACATATGCTACAAGTGCCATCACATCTGCAGTCACAATTTTACAGTATGGTAATAAAAAAGGCACTACGGTCAAAAGTGCTTAAAGAATAGCTGAGGATTTCTGAGGAGTTTACCATTACTTACCCTTTTTATCTAGTAAATATACAATCAAACAGTCATCAACACTTTACATTTGGTACTGCAACACAAATAGTCAAATATGAGGTTTGTAAATAGACTCCACTATAATGTCCTTGACGATTGCTGAAACAGTGATAATAGGCGGACTTTGATTCATCTTTGGCAACAGTGCTTCTGTTGTTCATTTAGTCTCTAAGGTTTTTGTCAACACAGTGTGGATCTGGCTGCACGGGCCAAACTGTCTCCATAACCGTGGAGGTGGGAGCACTGCTGCAGTATGTCATAGCGTCCACTCCGTAAAAAGCACAGTGTGGTCGTTTTACAAGTTTCTTTGCATTGCTCAGACACATGACCTTTAAATCTTAAATACCAAAACTTCTGAAAGATTACATCATCCTTGTAGAAGGTCTGCAGGAGCCCTTCCATGTCAGAGGGAAACAGACTGGGCAGACCATAAGCCTCTGTAGCCCGGTACAGGAGGCTCCATTTTGGGTTTGGGTCGGGGGTCTGTGGTGCTGGGCCATGGTTGGCCTCTGTCAGATTTAGGATATGGGTTTCATGATCGAGCACCATTCTAGAACTGTTGGGGTAGTTCCCATCCACGACATAAACCCGGTAACCTAAAACAATGTGCATTTAGTCTATGGTAATTAAATTGTGCTCATCTTAAAATGCAGTTGATGCCTTTATTACCTGGGTTTAGATTGACATAAGTGGTGACACTTGGAGCCACAAAGGCAACACTCAGGGGGCGAGTCAGGGTTTCCTCATCATAGAACATTTGAAATTCATCGGTGTGTGTATGCCCAAAAAACTGGCCAGCAATTGTGCCTTCATATCTGGATGGGTAAAGATGACAGTGGACAGTCATTACTAGTCTACAAAGTCTACATTTAAACATAAGAAGTATCCAACCTGTTGACAATATGATAGTAGTTCCAACTCCAGCTGCCAAGACACAAACCAGGAGGGATGTGACCGATTATATGCACCTGAGTGTAAAAACAGAACAGAACAATAAAAACAGGTTTGGTCACTCATATATCAGTATGATTGTGTGGTTATTGTCACAGTGTGACTTTACACCTGTTTATTGTGAAGTTTACTTCACTGACCTTCTCTCCCTTATCTTCACTTGCTTGGAGGACTTGTACAAGCCATTGCAGCTGATTGGCCGGATCCGTGGAGTTCACCATGAGCCAGAAGTTTTCTCGAGCACAATAGTTCATATTCAGAGACACTAATCTCAAACCAGGCTGAACCTGTAATGTGTAAAATCCACCATATCTGAAAGAGAGTTACATATGAAAAATACAACAGACCAATACATCAGTCAAATAACCTTGTTGTATTAAATAATAAACCTTAAAGTTTTCAAAGCATGCTCTGGTAGCCACGGGGCCCACTCCTCTGCCATAGTGTTATAGAGCCATGCTGAGGACCTGTTGCCGTGTACAAAAGGTGGAGGAAAGCTGTTCACTGGTGTACTCTCATGGTTTCCTATGGCAGGGTATACTGTCACATTTGGACCCAAGTGTCTGTGGGCAACAAGAGTAGTGTTTTACCAAAACACCATCATAAAAGTGAAGAGCCATTACCCCTAAGCATACAACAGTGAGTACAGATTTTTAAAGAAAATATGCATAAATGTATAAATACTCACAAGCTTTGTGATTATGATTAAATTTGCTACATATTTTTATTAGATTAGTAGGATTTTTTACAGAATGCAGGACTGTTCAAATTAAATTTGATTGCAAATCAATTGTGCAGCCACAATTTACAGTGCATTCATTACATTTTTAAATAGTTTAAATAGGTAGACTTACTTGTGGATGAGCCTGGAGATGACAGTAAGTTCAGACAGTTGCTGTGTTCTCGTTTGGGACCACACATTATGGGCTGGGATGTCTCCAGTCCAGTAGACCCAGTCCCACGGGCCACTCTTGGCCACCTGCTGCAGGAGGTGCTCCACAGTGCGCAGAGGCAGGTCACACTTACTGTAAGTGCCCCAGTACCCGCCTCCCTCCGCCGCCAGCTCGGGGTGCCCGAGTCATTTCGACAGCACAGAGGATCTCTGCAGTCTGCTGCACTGCCTTCAGCATACTCCTGTTAGACAATAAAGATAAGATATGCCTTTAATAGTCCCACAGTGGGGAAATTCCAGTGTTGCAACGCGCAATTTCAGAACAGCAGGAAAAGGTAACACAGATAATAAATAATAGCTTAAAAATAATAATAATAAAGATGAAATCATTATTCTCTTACTGTCTGACTTAGAATCAGTATTTACTAACCTGATCCCAGTGGATGTCTGTCAAAAACAGGACCCTGCTCTGAGGTGAACCTGCAGCTGGAGCTGAAGGAGGGATGATGGGAGGCTTCGGGACTTTGGGGAGGGTGATGTTCCATGGAGCGTAAAGGTCAAATTTACCACAAGAGGGTCCCACTAACAGAGCACAAGCTTCAGTGGGCCACAGGAGTGACTTCTGCAGCACCAGAATGAAGTCGTCTCTGAAGAGTTCGGTTATTTGACGACACACCTTCTCAGGGGCCAAGTGCATCTGGATACAAGCCTCCCCCAATGCACGAGCGACGCGCTCTTCATTTGCACTGTCCTGGAAAAGGTTAAAAATACACATGTATTTCCTCATAGCCATAAGTCTTCACTCTAACCAGAAGTGATACTTGAGATCGTAATCATATGATCTACTGCTGTTATACAAGCAAAGGCATGCATTTAAAATACAGAGTATCCATTACCAGAAGGGCTATATCAATGATGCTGAAAATGGTTTTGCACAAAGGACAAGTTATATTCCTCCAGTTAAATCGCAGGCTTGGCTTGGTTAAACTTGGGTGATCCAACAGCAGCTTTACAGACTGTTCTGAAGTCTGCACTGGATGGCACGACCCTAGAGATAAAACCAAGGCCACCGTGATCCATCCGGAGGTCTGAAGTAGGGCAGAGAGTCGCATCATGAGGGAAGAAAGAGGCAGGCGTCCTCCAAGAAATGTCTGCTACGAGAAGGACAAAAACATTAACAGGAAGTAACAGACCTGTAACAAAGCGATGCAGTTCACACATTTTAGCAGAAATGTCACATTCACACCCACAGACAGAGTGAGACAAACGAGACGCTACATGAAAGCTAGCTTGTACTACTGTACCTCCAAGTTCCCTCTTGGATCCGAGCACTTAGACC